GAAGGTACATGCAGAAGGTGAAGAACCCACCTGATGAGGTGAGCCCCTAGGGGAGGGTACCTGTGCGGGGGACAGGCAGCCTCACCTCCAGAGATGGAGAGCCCAGCCCTCACCTCCTCACCTGGTTCTAGGTGTTACAGTCTCTTCTCTCAGTTTGTGGGTTTGCCTTCTCACTTTCTTTACAGCATCTTTCGATGAACAGAAATGCTACGTTTAACAGAATCACATTGATCAATCTTAGTTTTTGCAGCTTTTTTTTTTTTTTTTGGCTGCATTGGGTCTTCGTTGCTGTGCGTGGGTCCTTTCCAGCCGCAGCGAGCGGGGGCCACTCCTCGCCTCGGAGCGCAGGCCTCTCACCGCAGCGGCCCCTCCAGTTTGCAGCTTATTTTTACCCATATCTTCCACCAAATGTGTTTAAGTTTTGCTTTTGATAGTTAAGCCTTTAATCCGTCTGGAGGGGGGTGTGAGCAAGCCATCTCTTCCTCTGCATGTATCTGAATTCAGTACCTGGGGGTGTCCTCTTTTTTGATAGATGGGGACCAGAGAGGGGGCGGTCTCTTGCCCTTGGGGGATAGGGGGTCTGGCCCCTGCCCGGGAGCAGCGCTGACTGGGGAGGCGTGTCCCGCCCTCCCCAGTCCTCAGTCTCGCGTCTGTGCCCCCTCCCCCAGGACTGTACCATCTGCATGGAGCGGCTGGTCACGGCCTCCGGCTACGAGGGCGTGCTTCGGCACAAGGGCGTGCGACCTGAGCTCGTGGGCCGCCTGGGCCGCTGTGGCCACATGTACCACCTGTTGTGCCTGGTGGCCATGTACTCCAATGGCAACAAGGTGGGCTGGGTGGGGCAGTGGGCGGGGAGTAGGCAGGGGGGCCGGGCGGGGCCAGGACACCTGGGGACCTCACGGCCACCCTCCCCCACCCCAGGATGGCAGCCTGCAGTGCCCCACCTGCAAGGCCATCTACGGGGAGAAGACGGGCACTCAGCCACCCGGGAAGATGGAGTTTCACCTCATCCCCCACTCGCTGCCCGGCTTCGCTGACACCCAGACCATCCGCATTGTCTACGACATCCCCACAGGCATCCAGGTGAGCCCCCAGGCCTCTGGCTTTGAGCCCTCCCGAGGCCACCGCCACCGCCGCTGTCTGTGGTTCAAGCCCCTGCTGCCTCTCCCACAGGGCCCTGAGCACCCCAACCCAGGCAAGAAGTTCACTGCAAGAGGCTTCCCACGCCACTGCTATCTGCCCAACAACGAGAAGGGCCGGAAGGTGGGTGCCATGAGGGCGCGGGGATGTGGGAGCAGGCTGGGCCCCCAGCCGCCATCAGCTGGACCTGTGGTCCCCATTCTCCCCAGTTCCTGCACCACTGACCATAACCACCCAGTGTGTGTGTGTGTGTGTGTGTGTGTGTGTGTGTGTCTGTGTGTGTGTGTGTGTCTGTGTTTGTGTGTCTAGCCCTGCCAGTCGCCTCACACACCTCATCTCATTCCCTGGCCCGCTGAAGTCAAGGTCCTGACCTCATTTTAGAGATAAAGAAACGAAGCCTCAGAGAGGGCAAGTAACTTGCCCAAGGTCACACAGCTAGTAAACAGTGGAGCCTGGATTTGAACCCAAGCAGTCTAGGTTCTTCACTGCCACGCTAGAGACTGTCTGCTTTTACTTTTTGTTTTTCAAGAGAAGCCAGAAATTCTGATTTTCACGTGAAATCCCCAGGTTTTTGAATATTGCCAACGAAGTCACAAAGTGGCTGTTTGATACAGCATGAGGTCCAAACCAAACACAGCTGAGGGTCATCAGTTTGAGACCCTTCGCCCCAAAGAAACAGGCTGATAACATGGAAAGTGCTTTTACTGAGGGAGCTCAGAGTGGGAGTCAGTCTAGGGAAGGAAGTGGCCAAGCTGGGCAGCCGCAGGGAATCCTGCAGGGGAGCCACAGTGTGGTCAGGGAGGGACTCAAGCTGTGGGTGGGGCTGGCTGTGACCCTTGCCTGCCCCGCCCTCCAGGTGCTGAGGCTGCTCATCACTGCCTGGGAGCGGAGACTTATCTTCACCATCGGCACATCCAACACCACGGGCGAGTCGGACACCGTGGTGTGGAACGAGATCCACCACAAGACCGAGTTTGGATCCAACCTCACGGGCCATGGCTACCCGGACGCTAGCTACCTAGACAACGTGCTGGCAGAGCTCACAGCCCAGGGTGTGTCCGAGGCTGTGGCCAAGGCCTGAGGCCCAAGGCTGCCCACCTTCCCTCCTGCTTTGCCCCTGGTCCAGCACATGCAGCACATGCCTCCCTCTGCCAGGTGTGTCCTGGTGGCCCAGGTTCAGGGCTGGGGAGGAGCCTGCAGGAGGAACCAGAAGCGTTCCCGGGATTTGGCTGGTAGCAGTTGGGATGATGGGAGGGTGGCGGGCCAGCCGGCTTCGACCCTAGCTACCTGAGAGGGTCGCAAGGGTGTACCGGAAACCACAGCAACCTCCCTACCAAAAAGACAGAGAGCCCCACCCCCTCACGCAAACACACGTGTCCTGTTGAACACACGCACGCACACCCACGTGCCTCTACTTACCCCCAGACTTGGGGGGAAGAGACAGAAAGACCCCTGTGATGATACTCCGTGTGGATTCCCATCTGTGTCTCTATCGCATCTGTACAGGCTTGTCTGCAAACAAAAGGACTCGGGTCACGCACTTGGGGGCCCGGTGAGGGTCCGGGAGAAAAGGGGGCACTTGGGAGCCTCAGCCTCCCCCCCCCCCGTCTCTACCACCCACTGATGGGCAATTGTGGGCCCACAGGGTGGAAGCTCCCAGAATATTCAGCAGTTTTGCAAAGGGGCGGGCCAGGGAGACAGACGAGGAGAATCTTAGTTTGTGCTTGTGTCTCTTCAACCTTCTGGGACCCTGACCTCCTCCTTCCCCCCTGCCATCCCCAGGCCTTATGTCTGTCCCCGATAAAGGCACTGTTTTCCTTTCCTCCCCACCCCATCCTCTCCACCAAATCGCTCCCATTGTCAAGATCCAAAGGCTGGAGCATCTGGCTTCAGGAGTGAGACAAGGAGGGCCTGGCTTAGGCCAGCAGGTTTAAAAAGCAGACCGGACAGCGAAGAGTCCATTTCCCTTTCCTTGGAAGTGGGCAGCGGGGTGGCTGATGGTCTCGGCCAACCAGGGGCCTGTTGCCCAGGCAACTCACCAGCTCTGCCTCTGTTGATTGGCTGCCACGGCGGAAGTCAGCCAAGATTTAAAGGGAAGCCAGTGATTGCTCTTTTGAAAATCTACCAGTCCCACTGTGGGTGGAGAAATAAATGGTCTTTCTCCTCCTCCGCTGGGTCTTTTCCTGTCAAGAAGGGGTGTGCGTGGCTCTGTTTCTGGGGGCTTTCGGTCCATCCCATGGGGGAGCTTGCAACAAAATGATGACCCAGGACCATTGCCCCGTCAGCCTTGGGCAGCTGGAGATGGAGGGTCCCCATACTTCTCTTGTCCTGGGGCAGGCAGGGGGTGTGATGGTGGCAGAGGCAGACCCTCCCAATCCTAGTCCCCAAGAGGGCACAGGTGAAAAGCTCCGCTCTCAAGCACGGGCACGGCAGGCAATGCACACAGCTGCTCCCTGGTACAATTACTAGGAACCAGGAACTTGGGCTGGGAGCTGCGAGCCTCCTGGAAAATATGGAGGAGCTGGGAGACACCGTGATCGGCTCGTTGGAACCTCAGAGCCCCAGCCTCTGCCCTCAGGGAGGAGGACCAGGTTCTGTCTAGGGAGAGACAGGGACGTATCCCGTATCCCGGGATCTGCAGCAAGTCTCCTGTCAGTCTCTGAAACATCCCAGGATGCTAGGAGGCTGTGGTGGACGCCACGGCTCCAGGCGACCCCTTCCGGCCACGCTCAGGATAGCACTGCATCTGGTCCATGTCACCGCCACCACACCCCACTCCCCCAGCCAGATAGGCTTAGGTTTCTGTCCTACCCTCTAGTCACACAAAACTGGAAATGAGTCTTTGGAGGCCCTTCCAATTCTGCCAGTTGGGTGTTCCCAAACATTTTACCTTCTGTGATTAATTCTCAAACAAAATCTCACCTCAATATACAAAATCACCCGGCCCCATGGTCCTCAAATCTCAAACCGTGATTCCTGCCCTCACGCTCCCTCAGATTCTGATTCAGGAGATCTGGGGGCGGTCCCAGGAATCTGCATTTCTAGCAGACAACCTGAGGGTGGGCTTTGAACCACAGTCTGAGAAATCCCTCCCTGGCTCCCATGCTATCCCCATGGAACCCATTTTGAAAACCACACATCTAGACTCACTCCCTCCTCATTTTATACAGGGTAAACTGAGGCTCAAAGAGAGGGAAAGA